TAACTCTAGAAGTCTTCATGTGCGTTATTTGGGATTTTCTATATTTGGGATCGTATCACCCATGAATAGAGAGCATTATAGTTCTTCATTTCACCCTAGATGCCTTTTGTTCCTTTTTCTTGAGTTACTGCTCTGGCTACACCACTCTCAGGGTTATAATAGACATTTAATTCCTAAGTATGTGCCTTTAAATTTTGACCTCTGCTGACCAATTTAAACTTCAGGTTTATATTTTTGCCTGTTAGTCATATATCTCTACTTGGATCCATAGATGCCTAAAGCTCAACATCTTTCCAACATAATTTATCAGTCTCCACTCTTTGCAATTCTGCATTCCAGATCTTAAAATACCATCTAACTAAGAAAACTGCACCTCCCACGTACCATCAATCAATACGTTTTTCGTGTACACAATTCTCACATCTGTTCCCATCTCCATCCCTGCTTCCAATGCTGTGCTTTAGCCCTTGTCTTCGCCAGCCTGATTTACTGCAACAGTTTCATAACATGGATCCCTGCAGGAGCTCAATCTTGTCTGCCTTAAATTCATACTCCAAGCTGTTGCCAGAATAAGCCATCAAAAACGTAATTCTGCAGTCAATAAAAATGGCAAAAGATCACACAACATGCAAAAATATTCTTGCTATAATGTGAAGTGAAAAAGATCAGACTACAGAACAATAGATCCACTATGATCCCATTTTTGCTTTAGCAAATTATTGATAATTTTCTCTTTCAATTATCTAGTTTTTGATGTGTTCTTTAATAAGCAAACAATATTTTTGAAATTAGAAAAAATATCATTTAAATACAGATGATAAGAGATCTCACTAAACTGACCAAGTCAACTTCTTTCTTAAAATCTTAATATTGCTCCTTGAAGGTAAGGTAGCACTGATCAATGGGACTGTTCTGCAGGATCTTCAGATAATTTAAACTCTCAGATAATTTAATCTCTTTAAACTGTATTGTGATGGAGAAAAGAATGAGTTAATGGCTCTGAGCCAAAACTAATTACAACTAACAAGAACACATCCACCAAGTCGATGGCTGCGTACTATGTTCCAGGGGCCTTGCAATCTGCCCTATCAAAACAGAGAGCACAATGGCACAGCAATTTCAATTTATGTTTCTACTTATTTGAGTAATATGAAGTCAATTTCCAGATTTTATTCCATTTCAGCAGGAGCTAGCCTGGTGAATTAAATGACTACTACCCCTGCATTGTAAGATCTGTAAGGGATA